AGACGGCTCGGGAGGCGGCCGGTGCCTCATTTGTGAAATTTGGGGCTCGTTTGAGCTCTTTACCGATCCCCCTTCCCCGTCTGCCAGCAGTGACTGGCCTCGCAGGCTTGCCCGGTGCTGGGGGGGGGCCGACCCCCCCCCCAACCCCTGGTGGGGTTGGAAATGGGGATGTGGGTCTCGCCCATTGCAGAGATGGGCCGGTTCCAAAACCGCTTCTGGCCCCCTCTCCTTCCCCCTCCGTGAGCTGGAGCGAGTTAGACTGAGGGTTTAGCGTTGAAGGTCATCCATAAATAAAAATAACGGGCCTGAATTTCCCACGGGTCACGCCGTTCCCGACTCTGGTGTCTCGGTCTGGCCGTCTTTTTTTATGACTTTTAACAATACTTGGAGGTGGAAATGAGGCGCGCGAGTCTGGAGTTGACACAGAGAGAAAGTTGTCGTTTCCTGGTATGAGGTTGACTGCTACGGCGTCGGTGGTAGCTGGTCACCGTAAAAAGCTCTCGTACAAGTAAGTGATTTAACGCAGCCTCGGCGTAAGGCTGCCTCTGGGTCTGTGCTTTATCTTTTGGCTTTAAATTGAAGCGGGTTCCCACGTCCTTGCCTGCGTATCGCAGCCTGCCAGGATGCAGGTGATGGCGTAGCGCTCCCTTTCCTAACGCTCCCCAATTGCCCAGCTCTCCGGCACATTGTCGGTGTCCAAATAGTTATTAGGACCTTCTCAGTTTTTGCGAAAATGCGGTTTTAAGAGTTTCACACCACGCTTTTCAGATGAGTGTCCTAGTCATCAGACACCTGGAAGGTGGAGGGGCCTAAGCAAATTAAGTGTCAAAGTCCCAGTGAGAAAAGTACCCAGCTCCATTAGGCAATTTTGAAAGCACAAATTTAAGCACAGACCTAGACGCGGCTTCATCTTTAGAAATGTAAAACAGCCCTCGCCTTCTCTGAAGCCCCTCTGAGCTGCAGGTGTTCAGCATTCCTATTTAAAGAATGTAAATAAAAACTGATGGTGCCCAGTGCCTTGCAGGATCAGCCCATTAACGATAGAAAGGAATAAAACCTTCGCTCTGTGAAATTAACTAGAGAAAAAAAAAATCTGAATTTTTTTACGTTGTCACAAAGCGCAGTGTAAGATGTGGAGATGTGCTCACAAACCAAGGGGTCCAGTTTCTTGTCCTAGTTACACTTAATGTAGCCTGGATTTGTTGGAACAGAACTGTTGCAGACCGGCAGTGGTCTATCTGATACTGGGCTTTGGCTCAAGATACTAAAATACGCTATTGAACGTGTCTTGGTAGTAAGTGCACTGGTCCTGGGGGCCTTCATGGATGACGGTTGAGACATCGACTCCACATTAAAGCGTTACCTTCCTTTCGTCCCTATCAGCGTGGGCAAAATACCCTACAGAGCTGCGTTGCGGGATGCGGTTTCATGCCTTTGTAGCCACCTCCATCGTCCGTCCCTCAAGGCTGGCGTTTTATTTCTACATGCCTAATTCACCCTGGTGAGGAAAACATCAGCATGTGATGAGTGCTGACTCCGTATGTGCATTTGATGAATTTTGTAAATGTGGAAGTTGTGGAGAAGAATGGGCTTTTTCAGAAATTGTAGCTGGTGGTTTTTAGCTCACAAACCAAGGACTTGGTCCTGTTCCTAGTTGTGGCTTTGGGGCTTTTATATTTGGTGGGCACACTTTCTACACGCTGCCTGAAAATTTAAGATACCTAGATATATTTGGAAGGCTTTGGATCTTGCTTCTTTCAGTTTTGAGTACTATTGTGTGAGAAGTTGTATGACATGTTGTTTTCCTTGGCCCTTTGAAAGTTGACTTTTTAAAAATATGCATAATAGCTCTAAAAGAGGCTATTCCTTGCCACGTGCATTAGGGGAACTTGTTGCTTGGAGCACGTGAGGCTGTCTTTTAACGTTTTGGTTTTTTTAAAAAAACCTTTGGCTTCCAAAGACTGGTCTGAACCTTTATATTGCCTGTTTGTCCAGGGCTGCAGCTCTCCAGCAGACTTCAGCGTTTGAATTTCACCCTAGCCATGCATTACATTTTAAGAGAACTGCAGATTTTAAGAAAACTGCAGTTTAAGAGAACCGCTGGGTTCACAGTCCTTTTCACGCAGGTAATAATTATCCCTGCCGTTTTGTTCGTTTAGCTGTTTATTTTTAACAAAAGATCTAAGGGCGCGGACTCCGCAGTCAGCGGATGCTGGTGTTGCACCCCGTCTGTAAAGCCCACCCGGTGGGTGCAGCCCGGTGCGTCCGGCTGCGCGGTGGGGACCGGCTGGAGACGGCGCCCGGCTGTGCCGTGTCACCAGTGCCGTCCGCCAACACACCGGGCCAGGAGGCAGTGGAAGGGTCCGCGGGGCGTACGTGGAAGACGAGCCTAGCTGGTGTCCCGGCGGTGGGGACATCACCTTCCTCTGGAGCTGGAGGAGGCAGGGATGGGGTTGGAGCGGCCTCGAAGGCACTGCTGAGACCCTTTCTCCGAGCTAATTTCTGAAACGGAGAAGGTCTTACCACTGTTGGACCACTCTGCGTTGGTTTTTTTGTTTTTTTCCGGGAAGAATGAGAGGGAAGCAGTGGCAGTTGTGGTGACACTGAGCAGGCCGGCCGTGTGGCAGGGCAGCAACACGAGGGCACTAATTTTGGAAGGAGGGGACTCTGCTCCCCCAGGCAGATCTGTGCCTCGCCAGGACCACTGCAGTCGGATTATCCTTGTCAAAGTATCACCTCTTTCTTTGTAATTCCTACCTGCCTTGTTGTTTCAAGAGAGTGTGAAGCTGCAGCGTGTTTTGAATAATCCAGTTTTATTTGTGTCACGCTCCGGTGTAATTTAATGACCCTTCCTCAGTAAATGGCCGGTCTCTGAAGGCAGACTAGAGAGCGAGTTCAAAAGGTGTTGCTGCTCATCGTTCCTGACTGTTACCTGACATGACATCCATCAGTTGGAACATCGCAGAGTTGCTGTGAAACTGCCACAGCACATTAATTTTTCCTAAGTACCGTTCGCCTTGGAGTCATTGCCAGCGAGAAAGGCGAGCGCGGGATCGCCGGAGGACGACACCAGAGAGGGCTGAGCTGATAAACAAAAGAAAGAGGAGAGCCGGCCGCGCTGGCGTTACGGCTCGGAGGCTCCTTTGCATCTGCAGCACTCCCGGGCGGCGTTGGGAATAACAGCTGCAGTAATTAACGCAGCTTTTCCGTATCTCCCTAGGGAAAGTGGGCAAGGGTGACCACCAAGGGTGCTGGCCTCCTGGGAGGGCAGGGGACAAGCTCCCGGTGTGGACCGGCTGTGGCCGGGGGCGGGGGGAATGCAGAGTTTCCCTCCGTCCTGCGGGAAAGTGCCGCTGCCGTAATAAACCTTAGGGAAGGCTGATGCGCTGCAAGCGCAGCTTGGGCTGGAGCCGGAGCTGGGTGCATTCCCAGCCTGCTCAGAGGAACCTGCGGAACGGCGTTACCTGGACTCAAAGTTGAGCAGCCGTTGTCCCTGATAGAAAGGTTTTGCTGTCTTTTCCCAGTGAGGCAAGAGGTACTGGTATTAGGGGCTCTGGTCCATGTGTGCTGGTGATGCGGAGCCTCCCTGTATCAGAAAGCATGGGGTGGATGATCCCCGATCCCACCGCTGCTCAGAGCACCAGGGGCACGTTGCCCTCGGCTGAGGGCTGCCCATATCCCCACTGGTGTCTCGGTGGGGCTAAGAGAGACACATATGCAGCCCCAGGATGGGGGAGCAGAGCTGAAGGAGTCCCTTCAGCAGTCTGACAGCGAGGCGAGGCAGGGATGGTCTCCCCAGGACCAGCTGTGGGATGCTGGTCCCCGTAGCGTAGCAGGGATGGAGGCACACAAAGGGCGGGTTGTTCCCCTGCGCTGGGTGAGGGACCCGGTCGGTGCAAGTCTGTGATGCGATCCGTCACCTTCCAGGTTTTCCACGCCAACTGCGCAGCTCCGCTCTTGCTTTTGTACACCCGGAGCTGTTGAACGGTTAGACTGTCGGCCAAGAGCACGCTGCTGGCAGCGCTCGACGTGGCGTGCACAATAACCAGCAATTTCAGTGGAATTTCAGCTGTCGCAGACTAGTGAGACATCCATGTTTATCCTTCACCTGGCCTCTGCCAGTTGGGCTGGAGGATAAGTGGTCCCAGAAACCAGAGCAGGTCAATAGATCCCTCTTGTTCCAAAATCCTAGTTAACTGGAACCAGTTGGAAACTTGCTGTAATGGAAATTTCAGTTGTGTGTAATTTTTTTAACAGAATGCAGTTGATCGTGTTCTTCCCTTTAGTCTGCCTCCACTTGTGTTTTTTGTCCTGTGTTTTTTGTGTGTTCTGACTTTTCAGGGAGGGAATCAGGCTCGCTTACATAAAAGCACATCTCTTGAGCAGCACTCCAGTCTCTGAATGCTGAAGCAACGTTGTTTGAAGACTGGGTTTTTTGCTCTGAAGGTTCACATAAGAAGAGTGTCCTCGAGACAAACTCAGTCCTTGTACATCCCCCTTCCAAGACAGCTTGTCTTGTGCTGTTCAATTAGCGGCATTTTCAAGGATGCCAGTCCGCAGCTTCTCCCCTGGTGTGGCATGCCTGTGGGCTGGGTTGTTAAGGAGAGCTGTGCTTTTGTGTGTTGTGCCATGTCCCTCCACTCCGGCTGGGTATGTTACGAAGTGAGTATATCTGTGCGGCACCTCATATCATTCTTGTTTGTTTGTTTGTTTTTTCCAGAACACTATAATTACACATCTTCAAACGTAAATGCTGGCTTGCCTCTAAATGTGGCGCATTCCTCATTGTCAACTCCATGTCATGGCCTTCAGACATCAAATCCTGTCATTTCAGTTGTCCCATCGACAAACCATCCTTCTGGTTACGGAGGACACATCGACGGCGGGGCCTCCGAGTATTACCTGCCGCCAAACATCAGACCTAATGGAGCTCCAGCGCTGGAGAGCCCTAGAATTGAGATCACTTCTTACATGGGACTTCATCATAACAACAACCAGTTTTTCCACGATGAGGTTGAGGAGGCCATCCCAAACGCCAAGCGCTCGCCTTCCACTGCCACTTTGAACTTACCGAACATCGAGGCGTACAGAGACCCATCCTGCCTGAGTCCAGCGAGTAGCTTGTCTTCCAGAAGCTGCAACTCGGAAGCGTCTTCCTACGAGTCCAACTACTCGTATCCATACACTTCCCCCCAGACCTCTCCATGGCAGTCCCCGTGCGTCTCTCCGAAGACCACCGACACCGAGGAGGGCTACCAGCGCAGCATGGTGGCCTGCACCTTGCTCAGTTCCCCGAGGCACTCTCCGTCGACGTCTCCCCGGACGAGCATCACGGAGGAGAACTGGCTGGGGGCTCGCAACTCCAGGCCTCCGTCTCCCTGCAACAAGAGAAAGTACAGCCTCAACGGCCGGCAGACCTCCTACTCCCCACACCACTCCCCCACGCCTTCTCCGCAAAACTCGCCGCGGGTGAGCGTCACAGATGAGACGTGGCTGGGGAACACCAACCAGTACACCAGCTCCGCCATCGTCGCCGCCATCAACGCCCTCACCACCGACAGCACCATAGATATGAACGACGGGATTCCCATCAAGTCGAGGAAGACCGCCATCGACCACACCCCGTCCATGACTCTCAAAACGGAACCGGCTGGCGAGGATCACGGGACCATATCGCCCTCTGCCGATTTGTCACCGGAAGACTTCTCCAGCTTTCAGCACATCAGGAAAGGAAACTTCTGCGAGCAGTACCTGTCCGTGCCACAGCATCCCTACCAGTGGGCCAAACCAAAGTCTCTGTCTCCGACATCCTACATGAGGTAAGGGACCCCAACTTAGAGAGCAATCCCCATAATATCTTTACTGCGTGGGTTTTTTTGGTTTTTTCCTCCTTCCCCTTCCTGTCTCTGCTTCCTGCCGAATCTGCCCATCCACTCATTCCACTTAGCTGTATCTCGTGATGCACTGCCTCTGTTGTTGGCGTGGCGTGACCGCGAGCAAAGCCTTGAAGGGTTAAAGAGGCTGTTGGAGGAGCTGGCCATGGGTGGATTGTAACTGGTTATCTGGTTCCTGCGGGATGAGCCCCAGCCCGGGCCGTCTGGAAGTGGGGTATTCAGATGCTCGTCAAGCAGCAGGACAATTTGGTGCCATCAGACCTGTGGCTTTACTTAAATGGTTCATCATGTCTCAGTATGTTTTTATTGCAGGACAAGGAGATGGTCTCATTATTGTGGCTGTTACAGGGCCTTTTACATTTACGCTTCATAGACAGTGAATGCAAACAGAATAGGAATAGCGTTCTTTTGCGCATCATTTCAGCTTTTACTTCACTTCATCTGAAAGCTGCTTATCAATCTTCTTTTCCTGTCTGTGTTGGACAGTGATTTTTCCCCCCTTCCTCACCATTTTTATGTTTCAGGAAGAAAACCTTATCTGTCAGCTGATAAAATACTGGTCATGTTTATTTATCACAAGGGGACTCCGGGTAGGAAGCACCACAGAATAGCCAGAATTTGAGTTACATCCATTGCTTTCTCTTTCAGTCTCAGTTACGGTCTTTGTTTTGCTTCTGAAGGCTGTATACACAGAAGCACGTGGTGCAGGAAAAGAGTTTGGCTTTCCAAAAGTTTGCAGGCTGTTCCCAGTCCCTGGATGTGACAGCCACCCCCTCTCCTCTTCCTCCCCAAGTGCACCTGGCTTCTTGCTTTTGACAGCAAAGCTGTCTTTCTCAAAAAAGAAAGAAGCAGGTGCGTAGCTGAAACGTTTTAATTAGCGATACGTTCCCCGGCTCTCAACCTTGCTGGTCTTGCTTTTCTCCAGCCAGCACCTCTCTGCCACTGTCTCCCAAAACTGAGACCGAGCGGTCCGTGGCCCTTTGTGTAACAGCACGTAGTGCCATGGTCCCCTTCCACATCGTTTTCCTCCTCCTCCTCCTCCTCCTCCTCCTCCTCCTCTCTGTGTTGCCCGGGCTCCTTGCAGGACCCTGCCTCAATTCAGCGCTGGGAAATGCAGCAACCCCTTTGGGTCTGGCCGAGCCATCCAGAGGTAGGGACTCGCTGCCTTTTGGAGCAGGGATAGAGACTTTTTAACACCAGGCAAAGCCTTCAGAGCCTTCCCGCGCTCTTAAAAAAAGCATTTTACGTTCTCCCACTGACGTGCCAAGTAGCCCGCGGTCATCAGAGAGCCCGGCCCTTGGCTTCTGCGCCAGGGGGCTGCTTCTTGCCGAAGGCTTCAAGGGCAATAATGGGACAGTTTGACCAAACAGGCTTTTATCTTTCCGTTTTGCTGCTTTGCTGCAGCCCGTCAGGAGGCACCCGGCATGCCTGTGCGCTAACGCAAACAAGAAAGGTGAAGCGTACAAAACGGAGCCCCGCTACGTTGTGTATTTAACATTTTTTTCCACTGTTTTGGTCTTCGGTAAAATATGTTTCCTGGTTCGCAATATGTTTCCATGTGATCTCATTAACTCGTGCTCTAGGGCAGTTGGAAGTTACTGTCGAAATGTGATTTTAAGTTATTTTACCAATCAGATACACTGACGGTGCTTCCTTCCACCAAAAATACCTCTCGTTTTATGTATATGAAAGCGCTGGGCAACTGAGCACGGACGTCAACAGGATCACAGCCTACGCAACAGAAACTATGTTATTTTAAATCTTTCCAAAAAAATTGGTTAAGAATTTGTCACAACAGAGCTGGATTTTTTTCCTGTTATGTTACACATCTGTTCTATTTCAAACGCGAGGGCTGGAGGGGTGGGTTCCAACAAACAACTCGGGCTCCAAAATCTACCCGGTCATAATGATTTCGAGATAACCAGATTTGATTACCTCCTCTGTCTCTTCCTGAATACGCGGTACAGTTTTCATCAAAAGCCTTGGAAAATCACTGACGCCTTTCCCTCCCTCTCCTGCATTCCCGTCGCTTTTGGGGGCAGGAGGGAGCGGGCTCCGGCAGACCATCGGCCGGGTGCTGTCTCCTTTCCCGGGGTTTTATAGTGGGCATCAGCCTAAAAGGGAAGCTGCTTTTCTGTGTTCTTTCCAAAATTGCTGATGGTTTTCATTCGTTGTCATTAAAGCTCAATCCGCTTTACGCTTTCTGAGTCCTGGAGCAAGGGAATAATGAGAGTATATAATAAGAGTAATAATAATGCCTGCCTTAGCAGAAGCACGGTCTTTCTGCGCCCTGTGCTGATGAGGACCGTGAGCTCGGAGGCTCAGCCCGCTCCCCAGGCTGCGGGCTCTTTGGAGCGGGTTCGGGCTGACGCGTCCCCCTCAAGGGCTGTGAACGTTCCTTTGGATGTAGGAAATATTTAGAGACCGAGCAGAGGTTTTTTTCAGGGGAAGCTTTGGCACAAACCCCAAGGTAGCGATGGGAGTCGTTACCTTTTGCGGACCAAAATGGGTTACCTGAATGTACCGACCTGCCTCAAAACCCACTGGAGGTAAATCGTTTCGCGGAGAGTCAAGAGATGGTCTTTGTGAAATTCTGCTTCAGGTCTTTTTTTATGTCAGTATTTATGCATTGTGCTGTCTCGCTCAAATGCAAGAAGTTTCTCTCTGTAGTCCCTCTTCTATAGTTAACGTAGGAAATAGCTTAAAGAGAAGCACTCTACCAGGCAGTTACTGTACGAGCAGGTGATGCTCTGTGTTTCTCAAGCCCTTGCTGTCGCAGTTGTGTTCCTTTCTGGGACGTTTCTCCATCGCTCCTCAGTGCTCTGTAGTGCAGAACCTCCCATGGGGAAAAATGTCAAAGCCAAAATGGAAATACAGGACTGGACTTCTGCCCTCGGGTATTGGGGCAATGTTAGTGACCATTTCCAAAACTAAAATCCCATTTGTATTTTTTACCCACTCATTGACATGTCCCAAATCATCCTGCGTTACAACAAAAAGTACAGGCGCTCATGAAAGTGCCGGATTTCTGAGTATCTTACACATTTTTAATGACTTCCTCTTCAGCTGCTGTATTTGACTAAACAGAACCTGAAATTTCCTAGAGACAGTTTCTTACTCATCAAGAAGTAATGCATTGTAGTTATTTCAAGTGTCATCAGTTTAATCCAAGAAGTGTGTTGGCCTGTAACACTTGAATTTTCATTAAATATAGTGTTTTTTGGGGGAAGGGGGAAGAGAAATGGTTGGGTTTGTTGGTCAGGCGTATGGCGCGTATGAGGTCTACCACACCAAAAAGAGCTTCCAGGAATAGACACCCATTTCCAGGTGGCTTATAAAAGCTCCCTACTGTATTTTCTTGCACAGTTTATTTTTTTTAACCGTTGAAAGCCACATTTTTCTTCAGCTGCAGTCTCTTTTTTCAACCTCAAAAATATCCGTGTATGTTCTTGACCTCACAGACACAGGGTCATGTAGTTGTACATGCGGAGGCTGTAGTTTGCACCCAGAGAATGTACGGCTGGGTACCTCTCTACCAGTTGCAAAAGCAAATTTGGCTTTTATCTGCATCAGTGGGCTTGTTTATTTTTTGTGGATTTCTTGGATTTGACTTTTGTGACTGTGGCAGTATTAAACTCAAGCATGCAAAAACCGTTCATTGAGGCCCCAAACCATATGATTTCCTTAAAAATCGTGATTTTAAAATGTTGCGTATTTTTTCCTCCCTTCTTTTGATTTGTGGACCTTTCAGATGCTTTTGATGGGCTTTTTTTGTTTGGTTTTTTTTGTTGTTTTTTTAAATATATCTTTTGGTCCAGATCGTGAGGTAGAGGCCAACGTTACTTGGCAGAAGTTGAGTTTCTCAAGAAACTGGGGTTTTCTGAAGGTGGAAAAGGGCACCAGCTGTCTTAAGATGAGCTAGTCACTGGCGCAGCAGCTCCGGATTTGCTGACCGGTGCGTTCATGGCAAACTTGCGCGTTTATGGCAAGCCAGAGGAAGTTCCTCAGACAAAGCAAAGGCAGGGCTGTCTGGGCAAGACCCAGGGAAATGGGGACTTGTGGCGGTGACCATCTCCTGGGACTCGTTAGTGTTAATTGAGGGGCGGGGGGAGTGGACAGGGAAGAGCCCGCAATGTCTCTAACCTTTCTCTCTTTCCTGCTGTATTCACGCTGGATGGGGATGTTCAGATGCTTCAACAAGTTCGGTTTGCCACCGCGTAGCAGCGGCTTTTGACTACGTTAGGTCGCTGTACCATAAAGCCGAAGACCGCTTGCAAGCCTGTCTCGGTAAACTGATTTTTTTCTGTTGGTTGTATGTTTGATTTAATCCTCCCCACGCTTTCTCCTGACTGTTTTTCAGTTCATTCAAACGCCCCTGTGAGCGTCTTATTCACGGCCTTCCCTCACCAGCTCGTTTTAGCACGGCGTGATTCTAAATTCAGAATGAGCAGAGATGCGATGCCAGCCACTCGTTATCTCCCTTCCCACAGCAATAGTTTCTTGTTCTTTCTCTAAGCCACCAAATGCAACATTTCCCATGCAAATCGATCTCTGAATGTGAAGTTTGAGGACAGTAGCGTTAAGTGTTATCTGGGAGGATGATGACGACTCGCGTTTTCAGACTTCAGCGTGAGGAATTCCAGCGCGCCGCGTGCACTCCACGGAGGAGCTCCTTGCTCCGCGTGCCAGCAAAACACAGCCAAGTCTGGGGTGGGACGCAGCATCTATTTTAACAGCTCACAGCCAGATTGCTCAATTGTCAGACAGGAAATTAAAAAAAAAAAAAAAAGAAAAAAGAAAGCAAAATCTACCTACGTTAACTCAGGTGAAATATACAGCAGGTATATTTTTCTGACCACAGTCCAGTTGGTGGACATACAGGCATCACCGTTGTTTTCTTACTCCTCCAAAAAATACACAAGAATCTTTAACAGGCATCCGCTTCGATGTGCGACATGGGTAATAAATAATAAATTGTAACCATATTTGCATTTGGTGCACGGTTGGAGCAGGGGCAAGCTAGCAGCCTGGTAAAAGTTTCAGCAGCCCTGTGGTTTCTCTAGTTTATGGTTTTGTTTCTAAAGGAGCACTCACTGTTAGAAAAAAATCAGTGTAGTGCAGGGCACCCCGTCTCAGCCACGCTCCTTCTAAGTGACTTGCTTGGGCAGCTCTCTGGGGCGGATGACTCCGTCCTGTGGTATTTGGCCAACGCGCAGGGTTAGTCCCCGTGCGAGACCGACAGTTATTCTGACACCTTTTGCACAGCAGCCTAGTTAAGGACAAAAACGTTTGCAAATCTCTTTTTCGAGGGGCCTTGGGCATCTAGTAGCTCAGAAAGTGTAATGGTAGTTTAATTCCCAAATGCGTAGCAGTTGTCAAGATGGGGCTTAAACACCTTTGCGAAGTTGAGTCGAAGTTTTTGGCTTTGTTTCCCCCCTGTCTATATTCCAGTGTGCTGCTTAGTATCTTTTTTTTTTTTTTTTTTTTTTTTGGTAACTTGATAAATCTTTCTGCTAAAGGCAGAAGTCAGCCAGGCTGGATAATCTGTTTTTGATTTAATCATATTGTGTATCTGGTGTATGCAAAATAAATCACTATTCATCTGTTTTGTAATCTGATTTATGTAGGACGGAGTTACACTGAGCGAGTTTTCTGCAGCCTAACACCAGGTTTTGTGAACCCGCCTTGAGACAACCATCCCTCATTACAGCAATTAGGGCGACTACAGTTAGATTTATTATGGCGTAGAAAGGAATGGGACAGGTTTTCAGTGGGTGGAAAATTCAATCTTGAGGGAAATACACTGATGTAGAAGGAAGACTGCGTGAAGATCTTTTATTTCTCTTCTTGACCCCCGTGGAGGGGCTGTTCTCCCCTCCGCGTGGTGCTGGCTAGATGAGGTAGTTTGGGCCTTTCCAAATTGATAAGGTTTATTTGCAGCAACCAGATTTGATTTTACCACTAGACCATTTGCCTGGTGACTTTTTCCTTTAACCACGTTTAGCCGGAGGAAATTAAGTGCATGATGAAGATAACCTAACATAGGAAATAGCTCTGACAGCCCCAGCCTGTGACACTGTTAAATGCATCACTCTGCTTCCTTTATCAGGAAAACTGCCATTAATTGTCAATTTATAATCGGGCAGGTGGTATTTTGGAATTTTGATGATAGATTGTGGGCTAACAGCAAACTGTATTTTTATTTTCAGGCTTTATTTGAGAACATGAATTTTACAACTTAATTATACTGACATTTTCAGGTGCTGATTTGAAAGGGGGTTTGGTGGTTTTTTTCTCTGTTTTTTAGAGAGATGTAATTAGCTATGGAACTATTACTTACTTCCACGTATCTTAAAAAAAAAAAATCCCTCTTCACTTGAGGGCTACGTGCTGCTGGTCAGAGTTGTCCTTTTTAATTAAGTGTTAAAAATTTCTAATCTGGTAGATGTTGTGTCCTCAGAAAAAAAAAAGATGGATCAAGTAAAAATTTACTTAAAACCAGAAACATCTGTTTAAAAATGTGTGCTGATCATCACCAGGAGAGAGACAGCTGTTTTGCTCTGCTCTTTGTCATCTATCATTAGTCAAATATGGTTCATCCAGAAATTTTTTTTTTTTTTGAGACTTTTTCACACTGAAGGATGTGTACCTAACGTGCTAGGCAAAGAACAGTGGCTATATACAATGGCCTGTAATTTTTTGCCATCTCTTCGCTCTTTGTACGAGTGTCTAGTAGCAGAAGAGCTTCTTCTCGCCCCCAAGGTGGGCCCTGGCCATTTTGGGGGAAAGGCTTGCGCAGGAGCTCAGAAGATGTAGCGTCCTGCCTCTAGCCAAGGCTGGGGCTCCCGTGCTTGGGGGGGAGGTAGCCAAATTCAGGATTTGTCCCTGTCTTGCCTCTGCGGAGAGTGCCCCGCTGGCTTCTGCTGGATCCAGATGTTCATGGGAGCTGGGAGCCCTCGCTCACAGAGGCAACATCTTTATTTTGGGTGAGCTCCCATTTGGGCTCAGCTGGGAGCTGTGTGGCTACTTTCTTCTCTTCCCCTTCTGTTAGTTTTGAGGATGCTCCACGTCCCGAGGGCTGGAGAGCGGAGCAACTGGAAGTTTGGAGCCTGCGACTCGCCAGCAAGCTGTGCTGGGGTAGCAGGGAGTGCCCAGGGGGGTCAGGGTGGTCCTGGTCCTCACCCAGGGCTGGGACTTGGTGGCTCCAGCTGACCCCTGTAATGCGTGTCTATAGGCATTCGAATCACGCGGCTCAAATTCATAAGCAGTGAAGAAGGATAACGCAGGGGAAACTTAGCACCATCTGAAGTCCCGTCGGTGTATATGCACACGTGCACTAGCAGATATGAGTTAAATATGCTGGTGATGAAGGGCTGGATAAGCTCTTTAAAAAAAAAAAAGGCAAAACAAACCAAAAAAAGCCGGTGCAAGTGGTTAAGGTCTCTGTCCTGCAGTGGGAGACAGCAGGGATGCTTTGGGGGATGTGAGAGCTGCAATGCCTGAGGAGCCACAAGCGCGCTGGGTTAGTGTGTGGATCGCTGGGACGGAAAAACGGAGTATTCAGTCTCCGGCTGGATGCGTGCTTGTAATATCCCGTGTGGAAGCTCTTCTGCATCCTTTCCCCCTCTAGCAGCGAGGTGGGCAACCGGTAAATCCCAAGCGGCCACCTCCTTGCCGGCCGGGACGAGAGCTCACTAGCCCTTCAGCTTCCTCGCCTGCATGCCGCGGCGGGACGAGCCCTCTCACCGTGGCAGGTAGCCCCGGTCCGTGGTGACAACAAAGGGTCGAGGACCGTGATTTTCTTCTTGCTGGTCGTCTTGTCGAGGGTGATGGGAGAGATAATAAAGTTTGATGTACGAGGGCAGGGTAGCGTGTTGCGGTTGCGCCGTTTAACTACTTGTAAAGGCTTTTGAAGGACACCCGGCAAGGAGAATTCACCCAAGGAAGGAATATACGCTACACACAAAATTAGTGTTTTCATCGTGAAGCTTTTTGCTTCGATTTTAAGATCAATACGTTTGTCTCAGGCCTACTGTTTCTACAGTGCTTGTTTGTTTCTTTTTCATTCTTTTCAACCCAAAGCGTCAACTTGGCATTTCTTACAGCCAAGCTCTCTTGACTATTTTCAGTGTGGTTTTACACTGGAAGTGGGTTTCTAAGAATGACGTTTCCCCACCATCGCATGCTGTCGGGCCTGTTTGCTTGCGTGATGGTAATGAGTCCTTAATATTTTAGTTAATTGCAGAGTCAATACAGGGCCAGAAGAATGAGCTGGATTTTCTTCGGGCTTGCGCGTCATCGTTAGTAGGATTTGTAAGCGAGTTCTGACTTCAGAGCTTGCTCCCTTGCAATGCATGAACCAGAAAGGGATCGGCTTCGCTTTGAGGCTCTCTGACGTGTTTTGTGTTGGGAAGTAAGCCGGGAAAGGGCTTTTTTTCTTCTTCCCACTCCCTGTAAACTGAGTAGATTTGTTGAAATCCATTAGATTCATTAAATGCAGACCTCCTCCGGAGCTGGTTTGGCATTCACTTTCACAGCAGAAATCCTTTTCCTTCAATTCCTCTGCGTATTTCTGCCTACCTTTCCCCTTTTGGTTCAAGAATCAATATATTAAGATATTTGTAAGCTGTGTCTTAACATTTTTCCATTTTGTTTACAAATCGGATAGCATCTGGGCCATCAGATATGCTCGACCCATAAATCTTCATAAAATAACCATTACCTTTTGAATTACTTATGTCACAGCGTTATCCATATTGATGAAATTTTAAATGTAAGATGGTGAAGGATGAACTGCGAAACACGGTCTCTAAAGTAACAGTGCTGGATGCTTGTGGTTTGTGATAGTGTACTTGACGTTAATTTTTAATACGTTTTCCTTTCCATTATAGCCCATCCCTGCCAGCCCTTGATTGGCAGCTGCCATCTCACTCAGGACCTTATGAACTGCGTATTGAAGTGCAGCCGAAATCCCACCACCGAGCTCATTACGAGACGGAAGGCAGTCGAGGGGCTGTGAAGGCATCTGCGGGGGGCCACCCTATTGTGCAGGTACCAAAACGTGTAACGAGCAGCACGGGTTGTTTATCTGGGCGCTCTGTGGTGAGCACCCTTTCCCCTCCAAAACCGAAAAGTGACGGGAGATTCTCCCTGTCCTCAAGGATTACTGTGGGTCAGCGCGCCTTCGAGCGTATTTTAAACCGGACAGACCGAGCCTTTGTTAAAAACAAGGCAAGAGCATCCACTTGCTCTTAGCAACGTGAATATGGCACAAGCGGTTGCTGCTCTGTCCGTGTCCGACTTAGCAAGTGTTCAGCTGGCAGGCGGTGACCGTGGACCTATCTGTGCAGTCAGATTCCAGACATGCAGTTTATACTGAAATCAGCTGGGGACGTGCCTCAGTACATTTAGTCCTTAACTTGCGGTTGGATCTAATCAGAGCTGTGAACACATGTTGGAGGGCAGAGCTGTAGCAGTAATGTGGAAGTATGTTGCTGGTTTGGATGCTGCAGTGAATGCTGAGCAAAGAGAGGCTTTTTGAGTTTCTTCTGTTTAGTTCCTTAAACCCTTCCAGCCGCTCTGGAAAGCGTCTGAGGTCTGAATCTAGTTTCATGAATTCTACCAAACTCTTCAGTTACTGTACATAAAGCATTTAATTCAATAACACTGTAAACTGACCCTTAATTCATTTATATGACTAGCCTCATTCATTTTTAAAGGACTTTTCTCAGGAGTGGGAAGAACCAGATTTAGCAGTTTAAAACAAAACAAAAAAAAAGTAGCGGGAGAGAGCCAGCTGTGCCTGTCCCTCCTCAGCTGCTTCTTTCTCACCCAGAAGTTAAACTTCCAGCCCCTTCTGTCGGGGTTGTGACCCCCTGTGCGGCAGATCCCAGGTTTTATCACCACCGGGGTGCCGTGGGACCCACGGGTGTCAGGGCACTGGCTGCGGGAGGGAGGCAGGCACCGCTGCCGCGCTCGCGCAGTTTGGGTTTGTGCCACAGCAATTCGTGTAGGAGCAGCGGCTTGTCGGAAGACGGGGCGGCTCAAGATGATGTACGGACCACACGTGCAGGGCTCGCGCGCGTTTGTTTATTTGCCGTAAAGCCCTGTTAGCAAACACGTCGTTCGAAGGAACGACGCGAGCCCGAGACGACGCTGGGCAGGGAATGCCGCTGCGGAATTAGTGTGCTGCTGCGGCAGCTGAAAAAGGAAAGTGAGGGGAGTTGTCAGCAGCGAACACAGTTCACTCTTTAGCTCTGCCAAAACTCATCAGTGACATGGGATTATGGAAGTCATCTGCTGAAAGACGAAAGGTTTTAGCAGAACGTTTGTGAGTGATACTAAAGAGGGCTTTGTGGCAGACACGCTTGATGACAATTAATACCTACTCTGTTTGTGGCCCGATGCAAGGAAATGTAAATGGGGAGGCATCGATTCGCAGCGGCCAGCCTGGCGTTTAAAGTTTCCTACGTGCTTTTTGGAAAGACTGAATGTGATGCCAACATTTAATTGGACTAAATGCGTCCAGACATTTCCCCTCTCATCCCCTGTCCCGGTCTGTTGGGAGTGAGCGTGCCGCTTCCAAACACAAACAAGTGTCAGAAAAGAGGAGAGGAGAGGAAACTGCGGAAGGGCACGAAGGGAGAGGGGAGGAAGCAGCCAGTCCTAACCCTGTCAATTGGCTCTACCGGTTTAATAAGGATTAATGTATTTTTCAGTCCTTTTATTACAACCCGAACATCCTTTTCTCCAAAAAGAACAGAAACATAAAGAGGGCCAGATAAAGCTTCTCCATGCTGACATTGCCATCCCGGCCAGAGTTACCTGTTGGAGGAAAGACTTAAAGGCTTCTGACTTAGACCAGGGTTGGATGGATGGATGAAAAGTACTTCCAAAAAGAAAGAAAGTACTTATAAATACATTTTATAAGAGAAATAGTAAGTACTTACAAATAAAGAAGTATTTTAAAAACAAAAGTACTTATAAATAAATGAAAGGAGGAGGAGGAGGAGGAAATCTACAAAGTAACTTCTGATAAATCAGTGACTGACAAAAGCTGTAAAACGCATCTCTGAATCAGCGTATTTCCAGATACTGCAGGTGTTTTGAGTTAGGTTTGATTCAGTCCACTGTGTTATACAGAAAGGAGCCCAGCTTCAAAGTTCACACCCAGATGTAAGCTCAAACAGTATCTGAGTGTCTTCAGGTGAGAGATTTTGAATCAAGCTTTTCCCTCTAATATTTCCCAGAGTTTTCAGTTGTGTTGACTCAGGGAAGCCCCTCGTAAAACTGCTCTGACCTCTTGCACTACCCTTTTGTGGGCATCCTGCTTCCCAATCCAGGAGATTTGCTCATGCTAATACCTCCACATATCTGCAGGGCACACTAAGGCAGAGGAGAAGTAAATCCAAAAAGCATCCGCTGCTCATGGCACGGTTCCTCAGCAAAATTGCCGGGAGGTTGCTTTCTCCGCAGCCGGAGCATGTTTATCTTTTTTTTCCAGGCAACATTAGCTTCCTCGCTGATGCTCCGTCTCTTCTTGTAGGAGGTGGAAGGTCTGAGAATCAAAGGTTTCTGAGACGAGCGTGCTGGATGAGGAGGGCGGTGGTGTAGGAGGACAGGAGTCTCTCGTGGGTGTGATATGAAGTCCAGGGTTGGAAACCAAATTTTTCCTCAGCTCTAGCGGCTCCTCCAGGCTGGTGACTTTTCTCCGGAGCTGGAGAGGACCACATGTAAAGCTGAAGAGCTTTGCGCGGGGACCGGCCAGCGTGCTGAGCGCCTGCCGGCGTATGAGATTCCTCTCCTCTCCCAAACCTGAGCCTGGGAAAAGGCAGGCAGTGCTGAGCATGGCAGGCTGCCGGCGGGGTTTATGTTGACGCATGGAAGGGGCGACCCTGGTGGGTGCTGGCGGCTGCCCGCGGCGGCAGGGTCTTGCCCCGACCCGGTGCTGGAAGGTGCCACTCGCTCCTTATCATCTCTCCATCATCTGCATGGGGCTTGCTCACTGGAGGCTCCTGCGGGCTGTCTCCCAGGCGTATTTCATGCCAGCAGGATTTCCTATGGATTTCCTTCTGTGGGATGGCTGCACCCTCCCTTCTGCACTTAGGAACAATACCGTTTTGAGTGCTTCAAGTTGCACCAGGCTAATGAGCCCGGTAATGCAATATTCCTCTCTCTCACATTTCGCCTTTGCCTGTTCGGGTGTTTGGCTGCCGTGGCAGCCCCGAGCTATCGCTGTTCTCGATTGCTAAACGTTTTGAGAGTGGGATGAGCCGGCGCACCTAGGCAAGCTAAAAATGCTGCAGAAGATTGGCAAGCGAGGGGTGCCGGGGAGTGGTGCCGGTGAGCTCACGGCTGGCACCGGCTTTTCCCCCTTGGCTCAGGGAAGTATTTTGCAAGTTGTCATCGCCTTTGGTGATTTCAGAGCGGGGTGCTCCCCCCTCTGAGTCAGAACGGGGCCGGTGCCGCAGCTGGCATCGCGTGTTAGGGAGCTGCACGCCGTGCCAGGTGAGGGTGAAACCTGGGACCACTTTGGGGAGCGAAATCACGCCCGTGAGCATCCTGCTGGCACCTCCGCTTTTGCAGGAGTTCACGACTCGGGTGAGGATTTCTCTGAATGAAGCAAGATGAAGTGAATGGGGACTTTAGGAAACCCACAGAGTTAGCTAGCTACAGCCATATTTTAAGTGAGGTGAAATTAATTCAAGGGTTTTACATCCAGAACATCTTAAAAACGTCCTCCATTTGGACCTATCTCCCTTTCTTCATTTTGAGAGTGGTGGTGAGGAGTTGCACAAGATGGGGGTTACATTCCAGCCAGCGATGGCTCTGTTTCAGCTGCAGGTAAGTAATCTGGCAGATAAAAGTTTGGGCGCCCTGGGGAGGGATGGCACCAGATTTTATATATATATATGGTCTATAGATATTCTAATTAATAACTCATCTTTGGAATAAGTCAAGCACTTTGGCTGCCTGCGATGGAATTTTTACAAGCAGGGTGCGGTGTATCTGTGAGATAAAATCCAAATACTCAAGAATGTTTAATTAAAGTGTGTGATGTACTCCCATAGAAGACTGGACCAAATGGTGAAAGAAAATATTCACATGCACAGAATAGCCTAGTAAGCACTTTCAAAAGTCATGACTATTATTCAGTTTTTTGACACAAAATATGCCAGGAATTTTCTTCAACATCACTCTTGACGTGAGGTAGATAAATCGGTTAGGAAAAGGGAAGAAAAGGAGTTGGAGGGGTTTTCCTTTTTTATCTAGGTAACCGGTACTAGCCAGAATTTGTTTTCCTCTTGGAAGATTAAGTTAATATTGACGATACAGTGAATGCTGCCTTGCTTTTCACTGTATCGCTTTGCAGTGAGATGATGGAGGTTGTGTATGGCTTGGGCGCTCCAATACAGAATTTCACCTGAGCCTGTGAACAGATGAATAGTCTGAACTCCCTCATTTTACAGGCAAAACACAATGATTTGTCTGCTGATTTACATAGTCGCAATGTTGTCTGTGCCAGGAGACTTGCTCACAGGAGTTGGCTGTGTCGCTTCTCGACAAGATCTCAAGTAGGCACTTTGGGTCCGATTTTCAAAGGCCTGGAGGCATACGTTGGGATGTTTAAATCCCCTTATGACTAACAAGCGTCAAACTCTTCTCTAAAGCAATTGCTGCCTCGGTATTTTTGTACATCACCATAATTAGGCACCAAGACACCTCTGAGCTATTTGTGCACCCTGGTAACACACGGAACGTGTTAGCGTTTGCTTCGCATGGATCAGTTGGTTTTGTTGCTTTTGGATAACGAGCTCAAGTAGTCCGGGTCCAGGTGCTGGCCACCACAGGTATCTGTCAGAGTCCTTTCATCTTCCCGACCCAAGAGCTATGAATACCTTTTGCAAACCCCTCGGGGAAGAGAAAGCCTTGTCGATCAAACCGCTGTAACTTCAGGGGGCAGCAGGCGGTCCAGGGAGCTGCAAATGCATTCAGGTTGGGGCTTGGTATTTTAACATCAGAGTCTCGGACAGCCCTTCTCACGCACCCGG